AAGTGAAAGAAATGAAAAAAAATTGTATCTTTTCATTTTCTTTTCTTCCCTTTATTTTAAATAAATTAATTAAAAAAATAAAGTAAAAAACATTCTTCTCTTTCTGTTCCCTCTAATTCTTTTATAAACTAAATAGAAAAAAGTTTCTCTCTCTTCCCTTTCTTTTCATTCACCTCAACGGCTCAACCCAAATATATTGTTAATTAAAACCAAATAAACCACAAAGTAACTGTTATCTTTCATCCTACTGGTCTACGCCAGCAGTTGTGATTTTTCAGAAAACCAAAGTAAATATACCCAATCATCCAAACATGCCCTCCAATTGTGTCATGCATTACGATACCATCCATCCGACCCAAAAACGGAATAATTCAGTTTAAAGAGATCTGTCATTTGTGAATGGCCCATGAGTGAGAAAAAATTGATGCCACGGGTCTGAAATATTTATTGTTTACAGTCACTAAATTTAAGAGGTGTTTTTTTTTTTTTTTTTTTTAATATCAAGAATTAATTATTTAATAATATAAAAATATAAATATTTAATTTGATTTTAAATTAAATTTTTTTAACAAGCACTTACCTAAAGTTAAAATTTCTTCACCTAATTTTATACCTGATTAAATTGTACCAATGAGAATTTAATGAATTGGCATTTATTAACTTTAAAATTTTAATTTAAAGTTAAATTTTAAATTTTTATAATGTTAAATGGTTATCTATGGATACTCACAAAAATTCTAAATCTGCTCTATTTGGCTATTTCTCACAACTCTGCCCAGATGTAGCATATAGTTTTCCACCTGCAGTTGATCTCTCACTGTGTATTATTATTATTTTTTTACCTCATTTAAAATCTTTTTTGAGGATGTACCTCTTGTACCTGAAGTAATAAAATTTGATTTATCAAAGAAGTACACTGAAAAATAATAGTTTAAGGAATTGACATTTTAATGTTTTAATGATATTAAAATTTTTTTAATAATTTCATAAAAAATCTTAATATTTAAATT